AGCTTAGAAACTCCTGCGTTATGTTCGAAATTAGTACCTGCCACCAATTTTGTCGGACTCCTTGTCTGCTTGCTCCCGAACCATTTGAATCAGGTAGTTGTCCCTTAGGCCTGCATCTGCAACCAGTGTACCATCAGCGCTGGATTTACAAACATACTTAGAGCTGTCATCTTCAGTGTGTGATTAAAGACTAATGACATCCTCACAAATGCCCAGTGTCACAAAGGTCCACCAGTTGTTTTCTGTTGTAACAACCTCAACCTCCTTGCGACCTGTAAACGGATTTGTTATTTGAAATAACTAGGAAAACCTTTGTATTGTTGTCCGATTCTCGCAACCGTAACAAAGATTATTCCGCTCTAACGTGGCTCAGGATTCCTGGTCGCGCTATTGTGTGCAGCGGATCACCAAGTTGAACTTGGTGACACTGAGAACGTTTAGCGTGAGGGACAGAGATTGGTTAGCAATTTCCCTTTGAATACTCACATACGAGCTTGATTGCTCCAGTACAACTGTGAGCGGTAGGCATTTTCTTGACACGTTCTGGTGATGCATCTCAATAAACCAACCCACTTGTGCAGTCGCCCGCCATAATGAATCATTCAGCACCAAATTATCGGGCTTCGGTAAATTTACCATCGAACGCTGCAGAATGCAGTGTTGCTTGGTGGTGCCATTTGATGTTTCGGCAATCCAGCGGTTATATTCCCGATTCAGAACACTTTTGAGAAGCCGAAACTTTGAATAAAATCACCACGTCGGGCTGATTTAGGAAAAAAACCTTTCATCGTAATTTTACCAATACCCTTGGCTGAATGATCGTGGAAGACGTTTTGCACATTCAAGTCGATCTTTAAAATGTATCTTCAGAATCTCCCGCCGACCCTCCTCCATCTCTACGACCGTTTTCACCCCTATTGGTTGGTACTATCCCAACCGAGTGAGGCTGATGTTCTACCCGTAACCTGAAGCGGAGTGGCGTATACTATTATGGTTGGGTTCCGCGCTGTAAACATGCAGGATAATAATGTGATTACGCGGGATATTTACATTTCCAACGACCATGCTGACTAACTCCTTACGTCTGCAGACCGCAGTCACACTCTTCTCATTTGACATTCCATCATACGACCGACAGATTACAACTCTACCGAAAAAATTCCGAATAAACTTGAGTTCTCGAACCTACTGTCAAAAGGCAAGATTTTGGCTAAATTTCCAGGAAGTTGTCATTGGAAAATGTTAAGGTGGGCAATGGAGATTAAGGTCCAAACGTGCTCTCAAAAGAACAAACACGTTTATACCTGCTGATTCGCCTATCTGTTCTATCTGACTGCTGACCCTCTTCAGCGCTTATTGCCAGAAAAAGACTCACAGAAGGGAACACAACAGCTATACTCCGAACATGCGAGCTCGAGAGCGTGAGTGCGTGCGAGTGCGAAAATATAACAGCCTCAAACTATTTATTGAAGGGGCTGTCTGAACTTGGTCCAATGCTGACGCACGCGGTCTGGCTCTGGTACGAGGCTGTGACGCGCTGCATATTGAGGCGTTGTCTGTCTGGTCAGCATCTAACGGAGCTGACGGTCTCAGTAAATTTTGGGCATTCAGTGGTTGCTTTCAGGAATTTGACTTTCCTGGTAATACCCCACAGTAAGCTCAACGAGCGTATCTTTGAGCAGGTTACAGGTGTGTGGTAGTACACAACTGACGTTGCTACAGAATTGGGCCATGGCTGGCTGTAGATGATTCGGTAACGCAACAACATAGCGAGTTTGCGGGGGTGTTTGCTTGAGTTTAGTTTAGAAGGAGCAGTGCTTTAATGGTATACATTACAATAAAGCGTAAATATCTACAACTCTAAATCCGGATTATATTGCCAGTGTGCTCCCAATGGAAGTTTTGTGTGAATTGTGAATCGAGAGGAGAAAAAATCATGCTGTACGCCTAAGTAGAAACGAGTTTCGCTGGTCAATCGGAAGAGCATATTTTCCTGAATTACATGTTTATTTAGGCTATGGAGCAAATCAGAGTTGGTGGATTCGTTGAAACGATTTGGATACCCGTTTGGATTTTCAGTGTCCACGCTGAGTTGAATCTCAACAGTCTGAAGCAAATAATTTTCCCCTCAACTATGACGTCGAATTTTCAGTCAGAATAAGTGTGAAACATCCTAAATCATCCGTTCAACTTTGGGGACAATTCATCATCTGCCTGTGGGCTTCCCGAAGACGAGTTTTCCAGGTCATGCAACACATTGTAATAATAGGATTGAGGAGAAAGTCTTACGTACAGCTATGAGGGCGTGCTTTTCTCTTTTTCTGAGGGTGGTGTTTGTGGAAATTGCTTCCATTAGTGTGGCAGCGGATTAAACCTATATTTTAGTTATTGTCGTTTCCAGCAGTTTTACTTTCGCAGTATAAGTTAAGGCTGGAAGTAAAAATCTAAATTTTTCTAAGATGAGCTACTGTTACTTGGAACTTATCACAAGACGAAGTGCAAACGTCGTGACCTACAGGATTCCTCCGAAAGAATCAACGTAGACCAATAACTTCCAACCTTGGGTCAGATTCCATCCGTCGTGATAATTACTGGACAGGGCTCTTTACTGAAGCACATGAACCGACTGCAATCTTCTGCTAATTCCATTCTGGTAAAAGTACCAAAAAGCACCCTTGGCATCTGACTCCTATATGTTTACGTACATATATTTCATCTTTACGTTTGCCATAGCTTGTGTGGTGAACATTGAAGAGTAGCTGAGGATTTGGCGAGAGGTGGAGAACTGACGTTCTGTCAAATAAGACTGACCAGGAGAAATGAATTTCTGATGACTCAAGCGTTTTGCTTGTATTCCAGAGGTTTTAGATTGGCGTTGCTAGTGCTACTGCTCAGTGGGTTGCGCCACTGTTAGGAGCTACGCCTTTAAAAACCCAGTTTGTCATCAGTATTCCGTTCTGAGATATCTCATGAGTAGTCTGCTGCTGACTCATATTGAATGTTGAAAGTTCCCGTTGCGATGCGTAAGAATTGACTTGGGATGGCTTAAGTATCGTTTTTGGTTTGCTGTTCTAAATGGGCGTCCATATTGAGAAATTATATGGACCAGTTCACATAACGGCTGTTACTCGAATTTGAAGGACTCCTTTCCTTCAGCAGGCAAATTTTCAGCATGATCTTCCAGATTACCCATTTTCCATGTTTCGTGTGCTTTGTCCTTTCTTCTAGAGATCATAAACTCGCGTTTCGTGTATATTTTTATCCGTTTTACAGTGGACAAATTAATTTCCGTTTCGTTATCCCGATTGCCAACACCTCCCTCTGGTTCTGCATCGATGCTGACAAGGGCTTCTACAACCGGGTCCCACAACTCAGTCGCTTCTTCTCCTTCCCGATCAGATGTGGCCCTTTCCCGCTCGCCCAGTGATTGTGGCATGGATATTGTGCACGACTCATCTGTCGTCAATTCTAGTCCTAAGCCAGCGACCGTTTCCACACCGCCTGCTTCCGAGGCGACTGAAACCGCGAAATATGGGGTTGGACAACAATACTTAACTCGAGCTACCCAAACAATCCGACTCACCCGCTTGCCTCGCGTATTGCGACTCCACGTGAAGCGTTTTCGGTACGCCATTTAATTTTAAATTTTATACAGTGCATAAACTATTCACGCCGCAACAATTCTACTTTCTTCACGCTTAACCTTAACAAGACTGGACACTGAATTTCCCCTACAGTTCTTCACTGACTGAATTACGAAGATCATCAGGGTCTTGTTGAACTTTTTGCATCATTGAAGCCCTACACCTACCGATTGAGTTAGTAAACGGATCAATGTGAAGTGGGTAACCGGACCAAACATTGATTTGTAACTGTGTAGCAGCCGTAATATTCGGATATCGGGTACATTATTCAGTTGAAGCTTGGAGGTAGGTCGTTTACCACAGAATTTCTGAGGTTTTGCCCGGGTGTTCGACTCCTGAGTGTGCTATCGGTTTCGAGTAACCGACTCAGATATGCTTCTTTTTAGTATAAGATAATGGCATTTAGCATATTTTGTCTGAATCACCTTGAAATTTCAGCTCAAACAAGGTTTGACCTGCGAATCTGTTTGCAGAGAGTTTGAACCAGTAGCTTATTTTGTTCACTTTGCATGGAGAAGCCAATTAGGTCAGTTCGATGAAATCCCGTCACGTAATGTGTCCTCGGAGAGGGTATTTCCTCTTGGGAAAAGTGACTATTGTCAACCGTACCGCACATCATCATCGACAGCATGACATCAGTGCATAACACTCAGGCTTCGCTGGCGTAGAACCATGATTTATTTGAGAGTCTCAGTGTGAAATAAAGAATAAATTGGACCGGGAAGGGACTTAGTGCTGGTTCATTACAATCATTTCGAGGTGTCTACACATCCAAACACTCATTCAGGCAATCGGGATAGAAACTGACAACAAGAACACCACTGCCATCGATTAGTGGTCATAACTTGCAGTGGTCCCAAGCAGGCACAAAAGGATCATGCGGTCCTCATTTTCGAAGGCGAGCCGCACCGACAACACCCATACTTTTCGTTGTCCCTTTCATTTCCCTATGCCAGATCGAGGGCTGGCCACTTCTCTACTTCCGCCACTCCGAACTGGGCATCGAAACGCCACAATCTTCGGTAACCGATGGTTCGGTATGCGTGATACATGACCTAATCATCACAGCTTCTGGTGCTCAACACCTTATTCGACGGAAGGCCCCCAATCCACATGAGCTATCGTTCTTAGACAACGGTTGTCGAACAACTGAAGAAGTCTCTGTTCCGCTGCTCGAACAGGACAAGTCTCAGCCGATACACGCGTCCCTTGAGATTCACGAATACGCCATTTTGACGTCATAGGTGTCTCAAATTAGCAAACCCAACCCGAGCCTTGTAAATTCGTGTATTCACCCCATCTGTCACACTACAACCGGAACTAATACAACTTCCAAGGTGCGTAACACGCTCCGCAATGTCAAGTACCTCTCCTCGGATTGTAAGCGTCGTGTTCAGTGACTGAATGTCCAGGAGCATCACCTTAAACTTTGTGGGT